ATTAATTAAACATATTTGATGTAAAAATACAATTTTAAAACTACTATTGTTTTTTTTAATTCAAAGTAGAATTTGAGATATCATGAATATTCTTACATCAAAATACTTTATTTATTAATACTTCTTAGTGATATGTAAAAATAAATCAATCAAAACATCATACTACTGTAAAAAAATCGGCTTGAAAATGCAAACCATTATTGATCATTGAATAAAGGTTATTTTTGATATTTAAGATTATAAAAGGTTATTTAAGATGAAATGAGCAATCTTAGAACAATCCCTGAATGGTAAAATTAAATCAAATGAATATTAAAACCTATAAGGTGTTTTACATATTACTTTCATGGTTGTATGGTTGTATTCACTCGGGATTAAAAAATTTGACTTATAATGCAATTTTTCATTCCGGATCGATCTGAGAATACTAAAAAAGTTAAAATAATATAACATCCTCGTAGTTTGATTCGACTACAACCTGGTCTAAAGATAGAGGCCAGACTATTGCAATGTAACTCGATTGCAATGCTGCAATAAGCACGAATGTCCAGCACTAATGGACTTATAATCCTAGTCCTGATATAGAGCTTGTATGAGATTTATAGGCTGCAATATCATTTATATTTAACCCTATTTGCTTATTCACAATTGTAAATTCTGTTTATACGAAGTGTGTAAAATAGCGTAGCATTTTGCATACTTTGATAATACGTACATAATAATTATTGGGTGGAGAGGATGTTTCTTAAAATTTGTCGCAGTTAGTTGCCATCAAAATTTCGTCCAAGACCAAAACATAATTTGACATCTATTTACCTTTATAATATAACGGTAATAAACCACTGATACTGGTATGTAAAATTTTAAGAAATATTTTGTGCTTACATTATTTCAATAACATCATCATCTAAATATTTTAGCGATCCCATAAAAAATGGTCATTGGGTAAAGATACGTTAGCCATCGCTTATTTTGTAAATAATAAGCTTGAATTGTTAACTTTGACTTTAGATAAACTTTTATAACTAATTATGTTGTTTGTTTACATCTCCCTTGGCCTATCATGTTTTTTTTTTCAAAGTCTTGACATGACTTAGATTTGCGTTCTGATATTACTTTTAAAACTAATGTGTATCCAAAATAAAATGCCTTCTCGTGGCCTTTTGATTATCTTATATTATTGTTGGAACTTTATTTCGTGGAAAATAGAATCTGTACAAATACGTTCACGATTTGTTGAAATAAATAATTTGATTATATTTGTTTAGGATTTATTTGTTTTAATTAGTTATAGCTATTTGAGATACGAATTTGCTCTTACTTATATTTTAAAATAAACATATGAATAATTGAAAGTAACTGTTTAATAAGGCTTAAAGAGTTAAACAAATATCTATCTGGGTTAATTGAACAGTCTATCTATATCTGTTCAACAAGATATTAAAATCGCATAGCATTTTTGTTCTAGTTATCAACTACAAGCTATTTTGACGTTCTATTTATTCTTATAGCATGTATTCAATTACAACTTAATTGAGTTCAAAATTTAGTTTCAATATATAGTTCAAAATATAGTTGAAAATGTGTAATTGCCATGCAGAAATGTAAACTTTCCACCAATAATGTTCAACAGAGCGTTCATATATCATCTGCTTGATGAAACGTGAAACTAGATCTTTGATTAAATATTTCTGTCTTACCTACGATTAGTAACCTATATTATCACCTAAATATTTAGTAATTTTTAAATCTTTACAATTATTATGATAAAAATCTATGATAGTTGGAAACAATTTTTACAGTCAAGTATAACATTATTTTTAGTGTTTTAATATGTGCTTTAAAATACTCGAGTTAAATTACATAATCGACACTAGGTTAAAAATTCAGCCATCATAAAGTAATATTAATGTGTAAGATTCATATCTTGTTTGAAAAAAGTAATTCTTCCATTCAACTTTTTTTTAAATAATAAAAATGTAATTAAAGTCTTGTAAGTAAAGATGGTTAAGAAAAAAGTGAACTTTTTCATTTTTGCTACAGTATTTGAATAAGATGGGTCATATTGTAAAGTAAATACTTCTTAATTGGGTAGTTGTGTGCAAGTTGGCTAAAACTATTTTAAAACGATACCTAATGTGTATAATCTAATTGAAGGTTAGAACAGATCAGTGTAGGCCTATGTGGACTGGGGAACAGTTTGAAACAAAATAGATAGAGGAAGATAGCGCGGAGTACCTTATTGTTTAGGGGAACCTTATTTTATAGTGGTATGAAGGTAAAAGCCTTGAGGCCAAGTAAGGTAACGTTCAAGCTTTTCGAAATTGATGTTTGAAGTTATTTACTTAGGGGTACGTATTCAGCATTTCCATCCTTTGGTTTCATTACTGTTCTTTGTGTTTCTGAATATTTTTCGAGAATAAAGTATGTTTTGATACTTAACTTGATCCCTGAAACCGAAGAAATTGTAAAATAAGATTAATGAAAAAGTCATCCACCCGAACTATTTAGTTAAAAATCATAGTTTAAAAAAACTACAAATATAAACAGTCTACAACAAAATTCACGTAAGTGAAGTAACGATAAACCTTCTAATATGTATAAGTGTCCACATACCGAATAAATATTTTGCTCCATTTTATTTGATGTACTCTTTATAGCTTATTTAGTGAATGCTACTGTTATTAACCTATACTATTCTGAAGTAAATAAGTTTAGTTGGTGACTGTGATAAACGGGTTATTCTGTAAATCACTTTTTTATGTACTAACAAAGACTCTTTATTCTGTATTATCTAAGGGGAAAGAAGACATTATTTGTTTGCACTCCGTGATATGATCGTTTCGTAATACTGTCAGTTCTGAGTAGGATAATAATCAACGGATACTACTATACTAATGGATTTATAAACCTCCCGTGCTGCAGGGATGTTCTTGATTAATTACCAGATGATTAACCGAATCGTTCTAACATATAATGAACTAGTTTTAATTAAATGATTATTGAACGATAGTGGTAGCACAGGATGTGATTTTCTTTCAAAACATGTCTTTTTGTTGTAAAGTGTACATGCGTTAGTCATAAGTCATCATAATTGATTGTTGTAAAATATTAGTGTTAAAAAAATCAACGTATTTTTAAAATGAAAATTCTACTTATTTTAAGTACTATTAAAGTCATTTATAGATAAGCATAGTTCAAGTTACAAAAGGCTTTTATTTTGCTGAAAAATAAGAACTGCAGTAATGCCAATACCACATCACTAAATATTACTGTTTTTTTCTCAAAATTAAACGTTAAAAATCTTGTTAGTTTTCTAAAATGCAAAATATTATTTATCTTATGCATCTAGAGAAGAAATTAAAAAGTTTTACATATAGGTAAATATAGTTAGGCCAACAAAATATAAAAAAAAAACTATTCATTTGCTTAAAAACGTATTTAGGTTAGGGAAGGTAGTAACTAAGTATTATTCTGTCTGTGACATTATTAAGGTAACTCACAATGATTACATTTCTTGAAATGCAATATGTTATTCTTTTTTTACTGTTCAAGGTTAGCTTAAAAGTAAAACAAATTTAAATAGTACACAGCTTATGTTGTGAATTCGAATCAACACAGACATGCAATATTCAATAAAAACATGAATCAGATTTGGTCGGTTTTCTGTATAGTAACAACCAATCGGTCACCCAACATTCTTATCTTAGTCATGTATTAAAGCATAAACCATGTACGGTAGCCTTTTAAAATTTGTTGATAGTTAACTAATTGCAATTTTAAGTAAAGAAACTTCATATGTTATCAATATTGCTGATTGTTGAACGGAAAGCAAAGCTTAGCTGAGCTTGTGATGCAATCATTTGCTTGACATAACTGTCATAACGAGCTGTGATCCGAGCCTGTCATTGTTCAGACTATTCCAACCATAGGTGGAATCCGGTTAACAAGGAGCACAAAGTATGCATAGTAATTGTATTGACTATAATCATAATTATAGTTAGTCATAACTTCTTCATAAGAAGTTATAACTTCTTTTTAATACCTTTAATCTAATGATAGTTTAATTACAGTTGTGAATAATATAAAATATAATTATATCTTTTCATTATTTCATTGAACGAAGTATATTCTATACATGGCAAAATTGTGACATATACATGTAAAATATAAATGTACAGTTACCTTTTTGAGCACATGTCTATGAACTTACTGGATGGATAATCCATTAATAATAATCTATTAGCTTAATTCAATTAATCTTCTACTGAACTTTTAGCAGCACTATGAACGACCAACTGCCCAGCTGACATTGGATGGTTAGTGAAGGAAAGATTTCTGAATACAAAACCAGAAAAACTTCAAAAACTAATAATAATCCATTCATTTCATCTCGGGAATTAAAAAAAACACTAAACGAATTTATATAATTATTTATTACTTCTATTATATATACGTTTTTCATTCATAGTAAAAAAGGTTATTCAGTCTGTAAAAAATTGTGGTTTTTTTTTAATGTCAAAGGTGTTACCATAGTATTTGGATAATGAAGGTAAACTTTTCATCCTCATCTTATTGTAAAATCTGAAGGATATTTAGGTGTTAATTTTGGGGCCTGGTTAACTTAAAGTGTATTGATCTTTAGTGTACATATTTTGAAGTGTAATTTTTAGTGATTTTGAAGTGTAGAAGTTTAAAAAAATCTTGTTTCAGGGTAAAATTTCAAAAATTAATTTTTACTCGCTAGTTGTAAGGTTTACCTGGATGCCGCTTAATATAGTTTGTTATTGTTAGAAAGTTTGAATTCATTCGAAAAACAAAAAATAAATAGTAAACACAAAATCTCGCTTTTAATTTACCGGACCGAAACACGAATTTAAGATAAAAAATCTGTATGAATATAGTTACAATCTGTATTACCAATATGAATTCAAATATAAATTCTTATGGAATGTAAAACCTGATCAAGATCCTGGAAGTGATACAGAATTTCGTTGCAGGATCGCCGTCTTGTCCGACACCAGGTGGCCCGCCTTCTCCAAGTAGATCCCCCAAAATCCCCCCTAAGCCCAAGAAGGATAAGAACAGTTCGCAGTCGCAGAAGAAGTTCCTCCAGAAGCAGGAGCAGTACGACAGAAACGTAAAGATGGCGGCTGCTGGTGAGGGAACACTGAGAGACCTGTCACATCCTTCTCTCAACGATCAGTTGAAGAACCACAACGCCGTCACGTTCAAACTCGTCCGAACAGGTAAACTCAAAATGCTTTACTCTGGTCATTGGTCAGTGTTTGCAATGCTATCACTTGTACTAGGTAATGTTGGCATATAGTATATTCTTTACACCACAGGTTTTGATAACCGCTAGGCATATTTACTATCATAGTTTGATATTTTCTATTTAATCAAGAGTTATCAAGATTTTATATTTGTGTTCCAAAAGTATTCTCCAAAAATATCCGTAAGGTGACTGGATACATCAAACGTCCCAAAAGCATAAACTTTATAGATGACGAGGTTACTTCTGAATAAAATAATATGTTATTACTGTTGAACACATTTCTATATTTCAAACTTTTTTCATTTTCCATGTTTCCTATTTTTTGGAAGAGCCATGCATATCATAACTTTAAAATGTTTTCATGTGTTGTTTTGAATTGGAAAGTGGTACACAGTAAGATACTGTACAATCCGTGAAATAATAGTTTAAATTTGTTCGGAAAAGATCTCTTTGCTAGTTGTTTGATACTTGTGTTTTTGTAAAAGTAATCCCGGAGAAATTGAATCCAAATTGAGAAAGTTGATATGACGAGAAAGAGCAAAATGTTGAAGATGGAGTTTGGCAATGGGAGTTGGCGTGGTTTTACTTTGGGATAAGAATGCGAGCAAAGCCTTTCAACAACATGGACTTTGAGACAAAGAATTGGCGACGTTCGGTTTTATATTGCTCGTGAGAGGTTTTGAATTGCACGTGCAAGGTTTTGCATCATCCGTGTTACACAAACATGGGATCAAGTGTTTAACTAAAGAATACATTGTGTTCTTATTCACTTTTACGGCAAGGTAAGTAAAAAATAAATATTCGATTTTTTTCATATCTTTTTGGAATTCTATTTAAATCTATTTTAGATTGAAACTGTTAGTAGCACTAACACAGCGCTTTTGTTCATGCATAGCGTTTATTTCACGATATGAGTGCATCTAGTAATACATAGAATAGTTTCCCATGTTAACCTTATGAGAAATGGAATTATTTAATCTTAACAGCTGTTTCAATTAAACAAGTTGGTTCTGTTCTATGATGTTCAATAGCATTAAAGTTACAAGGATTACCAAAAGAGTGCAGCACTATTATTTCTTTTTCATTTATGACAACAGCTAATTTGCAACCAAAAGGTGTGAGCGTAGCGAAAGAACTTCAACCTGGAGGCGAGTTAGCGTAGCGAACGAGCTAACCTGAAGGCAAGTGAGCGCAGCGAACGAGCTCCAACCTAAAGGTGAGTGAGCGTAGCAACGAGCTCCAACCTAAAGGTGAGTGAGCGTAGCGAACAACCTTCAACCAGGACGTGATTGTGCCATGCGAACGAGATAATCTTGAAAATTAAGAAGTTAAACGGGGCAAAGCCCGCGGGTTACAGCTAGTTATAAAATAAAATCATATTATTACCAACAAAATGGGTTGAGCTTCTATTATGAGTTATAAGAAATTCAAATACTCCTTTTACTATTTGACGATATACTGTGAATGTATAGTTACTTGTCAAAATCACTTTGGGTAAAATAATTGTTTAGCAAATTATTATTATTAACATATGTGAAAGTATGGATGGTATCAAACTATTTTAACTCACAAACTCAAAAGTCAATTTTATTACTTAAAATGTACCTACAAAACCTTAGTTTTGGCCAATATATTTTTGTATAGATGTACCAATTGGCCAAATTATTATTACCAAATTATTACCAATACATTATGGTATACTTTGGCTACGGTACCAAAAGTTATTGGCCAAAACTAAGGGTTTGTAGGTACATTAAAAAAAAAGGAATTTAACGCTTATAATTATGTAAACAATAGACACGTTTCGCAAACTGGCTGCACAGTTAAAAATAAAAAGCGAATTACGTAGCTCGGTCATGATTCCACGATGTAAACTAAATCCAATCTTTATCTGCCAAGGCGGGGACGTGTATCCCGTGTTATCCAACACGGATCTTCCAATCTACACTGTTGAAGCTAAAGCGATTATTTTGTTTTATTGCCAACTTTCAGTAAATATTCTCAATAATTATAAACGTGTAATAGTTCAAGAAAATGCCAAACAGTTTTTTTCTATATCACCACCCTTAGATTGCTTGGACCTTTTTGGACGGGAGGGAAGCTGTTACTGCCTTCAATAAAACATAATTACGGAGGGGTATGATTTTGTAACCATATAGTTTTACTCAATCATACGTTTTCAATCAAATATCTCTACGTTCGTACGTGCACCGATGCCTAAAATACAAGTTGAAGGTTTTGAACTCGAAAGATACACTTCCAAAAGAGAGGAAATTTAAAGCAATCATATTTCTAAGCATGAGGCTTATAGCAGCATACTGGCTGTCTCCTGTGGGAAACTAATTGCGTCTAATTTTAACATGCAATAAATTAGCCTCGAATCAATATATTGACTCCTTCATTCTGAAGTGGGGAAACGGAACTGACTATAATGCAGAGCACAAATATCACTTAATAAGGGGAATGTGCCTTTGTCTGTTTTAGTCTATGGCATTGTGAAAACGTGGCTATTTCTGTAAAAACTCTTCTTTCTGGTAAATAACACGGCGTCACGGGTGGCGTCGTCCTGTAATCCAGCTACTAGGAGGTCTCGAATTGTGGATATTTATACGCATGCACTGTGGATGCGATACTCTCTGGTGTGGATTAACGTCCGCACGGGTGAGTACTACGACTATCCGCAGTACTATCCTGATAATTAGACCAATTCGTATATACCAAGGAAAAAAGTGGTTCGGATTCTACTATAAACTGTAGGTCCCTTAGTAGCCATTAGCTGTATGGGCTATTAATTAACAGCTGTGTCTAAGGAATATGTCGGCCTTAGTCACTAACAAGACTACAAGATCGCGCCACTCATCATACACTCATCTCCATTCATACTTGGCTTAAAATACCTACTTTGTATGGTCGCAATTTCAAAGAAAAGTATAAAGTATAAAGTATAATGTATAAATAATTAATAACCGAACATTAATGAACGTATGGTTTAAAACCGTCCAATCTATTATTTAGAATCTGAAATCAATTATTTACAATACGTTTACAGACTAAACAATTTAATTATTTGTTGAAAAAACTGTAAATTATACAAAGTTTTGTCACTTCACTTGTTTAGATTAAATGCAAAGCTTAAACGCAAAATACTTTTAATGGTGCTCGGACCAAACCAATAAAGGAGACCAATACTTGGGGAATGTCTACATTCTCCTTTAGATTTGATCCCATTTACGCACTGAAGTCAGTTATGTTCTTCATAAAGAAGAAGTAAAAGTCAATGATATATTGTCATGATTGGGAGGATTATTGTTTGGTGAATAAAATATTAGCTTACAACGTTTTGTGGATGTAGTTTGAAAAATTGCTTCCAGATTTTTTTTAACATACAATATTCATATATAGGAATGAGTAAAACCTCTTTAACCATTGTATCTTTACATCAATCATGATTGTTAAGGAGTTACTGTTTATCATGAGTCCTTTAGTGGTTTGTAAATTAATTATATAAAAATGTCGGCCCATAAGAATTTCACCTCTTGCTTATAATTTGAACACAGTAACTCAACAATTTTCAATCCCATTCCTTATTGTTACACCCTTAAATTATTGACACAGTCCTAAGAACAAGTTTGTAACACTGAACCTTGATGTTCTTGAAACATTTAAATGAAATAGTGGGGTTTTATTTGGCAATTGCGCTTAAAATGTGCTGCACTAGACAACGTAAAAAACCACGGAAAACATAATAGTAACTTCATAAGTCATTGTGCATACACATATTTGTAACACCATATACATAATTAAAGAAATGTTACATTGTATCAGCATGTTTTTATTTTAATTTGTCATCCTTACGGTTTTTAGATGGACACGTACAAATTTAAATACATAGGCCTACTACTTCTAAAAGAACATCTAAATCACCCACAAAATTTATAAAAAATATTTACTCTACTAATTAGATGTGGTAATGTATTCGAGTTAATATGAATCAGGTACCGTATAACGAACACAGCATGGATGAACTAGGATGCCTTAAACAAATTATCACCTTACATAGTGCAGTAATATTCATTACGCTTACTGAACTAAATAAATATTATTACTACCAAGAGCTTTTACTGTTCGACGTTAAATCACATGTATGGTGATAATACGATTTCACCGTTCATTTAGATAAGGATACTACTCTGGATACTTCGAGAAGAAGAAAAGTAAGAGTAAAGTCTCTCTTATATTCAATCCATTAATGCGATTATTCTTTCCAGCCAATCCCAGAAACTGAACTCCCAAGAGCTACTCTTATATTGACTGCTATGTGCTACACATATTCATATGTTTGGTCTACTTAAAAAAAAAAAAATAATTTTAGCAACCTTAGAATGAAAACTTTTGCACTACTAATAAACAAAAAGATCGATGTAGGCTATTTGTAAATAACGTAAAAGGTAGTCTTACTAATGAAAATCATTTACGATTTTCATTTGCTTTATTTGTTTTCTGAAACAAGAATATGGGAATACATGGTGTCCCGTAAGTTAACAGCCAAACTCCGGGGAATGGTTCTATGAATGGGTATTGGAAATTACAAATCTGGTTAACAAAGCGATAAAAACAAGTTTTATTTGATTTTTTCTTTATTTTGACCCATAGAACAATATCCCGGAGTTTGGTTGTGTACTTATAGGACACCCTGTATATTGAATACTAAATCCTATGTTTTAGGTTAAGTAGTAGTTGTTAGTAAACTGACGGAGTGCAGTTTCAAATCTAAGATTCACCACATTTATTGTTTGAACATTTTCAAGAAAAGTCTTACAAACTTTGTCACAACTTTGATTTACTTTACAAAATAGCTTACATAGTTAATGGACAGAGTTGAAGGCTTTTAAGTAGTTTCCATTAAAACTCGTCCTATTACCTTTACTAAACGCTTCTTAGTAAAATAAAGATTTATGGAAACCTAAATTT